CGTGAGAAGTGGTAAGATTCCCTTTTGACAAGTGCAGCATTGACAACTGGAAGGAAAAAAATGTGGAAATGACTCACAAAAGAAACAACTTCCATCCGCTTCCGAACACAATGGTCTCCATGGTGTAATTTTACAACAGCTTGGCTTTTTGTTTGGTATATTCTTAATATTTACATAACAAATGTCACTGGTATCTTTACTGCAGTCCCTTAAGCACAACTTAAGTGGAACAACCCAGGTGTTTAAGGGAAAATAGAGTTCTTGCTGGAACAGTTTCACAGATGTAAATAAGAGCCTCGGTTCTGCAAGCACCCCCAAATATATATTTATCACTATGGACAATTTCAGAGAGCTCTTAAATGAAAGACATAGTAAAAACACATGTAAAAAAATACAAGTTTGGTTCAGGCACCAATCAATGAGTTTCGCTCTCCAGCTGCAAGACAGGACTAACCTGAAGGATCTCCCAGAGGTTCCAGTGTAGCAGGAATTCAGCACGTTGCTGATTTCAGGTTTCGTTCAGCCTTATTACAAAAGCGTGTTGTGATAACAAAAGTCGGTACAAATGGTTACAGGTAAATGTGTTCACTTCCCTTTTGTTTTGTTCTTCCCTCCTGAAGATGCAAGAGGCGCTTGGTAAAGTGGGATTTATGGGAAAAGGGATTGACTTCAGCCAGTGTTGCGTTCTTTACCTTGCTCTGGAGCGGCTTTTTGGGAATCTATTCACGGAGTTTCCCACTCCTGTGAAGGTCACCCAATAAGCTGTGTGTATGATGCCTTCTTGAAGGGCAGCAAAAATTCAAACAAATAAATCCAAATAAATACCACACTCTACCCCAGCCATGGTTCAGAAACATGCCCGATGAGTCATTCCTTCCTAAATGCAATTAAAAATAATTCTAAATATAGAGCGGACGAAATGCAGTAAGGAAGGCAGTAAAACAACTGTGGTAGTCAATTTTTTTACGAGTGATTTCTGCCTACTAATTCAGGATATTACATTGTCATGTCTCTTCCTCATGTAAAATGAATAACCCCGTGAGGAGTCAATTGAGAACGCTCCAGAGAGCGCAGCCGCCCGCGTTTGCTGCCGGATGTGCAGCCATCGGTAACCTGTGACCTCGTGTTCCCCAGATCCCGAGGAGTGACCCAAAAGTCTCAGACAAGGAGGATCATGGCAGGGAGGTGTCACTGCTGGGAAGGATGCTGCCCACCTGGTTCCAGTAAGCACGTGGAATAAGTTACAGGCAAAGAGAAGGCAGCTTTGGGGAGGATCCTCAGTGCTCAGGGTCTTCATCCCCAACCCTTTCCTCCACCACCTGGCCCTTCTTTTCCATACCCAACACTCTTCACCTGTCCTGCTGATCACACTTACTGCAGGTTGCAATTAAACTGGAGAGATTTTTCTTCTGGCTCCCAGCAGGGAAGGGAACAGGAAGTGCCAAAATATGTGGGGGTGAGGGGGCAGCTGCTCTTGTGCCATTTCCAACCGGGGTCAGAAGCAAACCCACACA